TACGCAGGACGGGGACGACTTTCCTTTTGGCTGCAATGCAAAAGAGTATCTCGTTGCTCTTCTGCTACACAAAATGGGGACGACTTTCCTCTTATTTGCAATGCGAAAGAAGACCTCATTGCTTATCTGCTATGCAGAATGGAGACAACTTTATTCTTTTGGGAAATCCCGGATCACTTGCTAAGCAGAGTCGGGGACTTCACCTACATCCTCATCTCCATTGCCTATTTATAGGTTAAAAAATACTAATATTTATGGCTAAAAATTAATTCATTTCATTAAAATAGTAATTAAATAATATAAAATATGATTTAATTCATATCCTTCTATCTTCCGGTTTCTGGTATCCTCTCTCATGACATTCCCTCATCTTCCTTCCAGTTTTAAAATAAGAAATAAAAATTGTTTTCAGTATTAAAAGAGAAAAAAATACTTCATATTCTCTTCTTTAATTATTACAAATTAAACACACCTAAATTACTTTTCAAACCAACATTATATATATATATTATATATATATATAAACAACAAATTAAAAAATAAAACTGAAATCTACCTTAATTCCATTTTTAAAGAATGCTGAAAATCTTTCCATATTCCCATATTTTAACCTTTCATATATATATATATATAAGTTCAAAATAATTAAATAAATAAAAATAAGTGCAGCAGCTCATTTAAAATAAAACAACTCATTAAAGTAAAAAAGAAATTCTCAAATTTCATTATTTGGGCTTCCAAAATCAGATCAAATTCCTCTTTTTCCGCTATATCTATTCCAACTTTGGCGGTTTGGATTCTTAAATCCTGTTGGTAAGGCACTCGATTCATAATTTCAGCTTTAGGTCGGCCTGTCTCTTCAGCTTCGAGACCCTCTTAGGCAGCCAACCTTTGTTTGCCTTCCCAACTTTGGCCCGTCGGCCTGTCCCAGACGGCCCTCCTTCCCTTCCTAGCTTCGGGACCACGGTAAAAAAAATCTTAATTTGTTGTCATGTTGAACCAACCATCTGCGGCGTAAATAAAAAAATCTCTATCAACTGAGTCGTGCTTATTTGCTTCAACATATGGAGGTTTAGATTATTTTTATTCAAATTCTCACTGCAATATAAAATATACTGATATGTTTATATATAGACTACAAAAAGCAAAAGGCTTTAGATCATGATATTTTTGGTCGATAAAGTGATCTCACCCAAAAATAGGGGGCAACTGATATATCTCAAGCAAATATCCATCATCCAACCTAAATCTCAAGGCATGACCTAGATCTCGATGCAGTTTTTCGAGCAAGAAATATTCAAACCTCGATAAAAATTTATCTAGAACTTTGATTTCAGCAAACTTACAGTCAAACTGACTGTCTTGATAGAAAATCCCAACGTAACCAAAATTAGTCCAATCCGACTTAAATCAAGCTCAGATCAAGTCATTAATTCACTCTTGGAAGTTTTCCAGACATAATTAGAAGGTTAAAGGAATGTCGAATCTAGCAAGCATATAATCGAATCGAGTGTCTCGACAAAATAAATCCAACGAGCCTAAGATTGCTCAATTCTGACATCGTTCAGGCACTCAAATATCCATTAAATGTTGTCTAATCAAAGGAAGTCCTTCGGTTCGATTGAAGTAGTGCATATTTCTGCATTCATTGCACCCAGAACATTATAAACAGAGTCCCACCACTCTCATAAGAGGGGGCTGGAGGCTTGAGAGAGAAGTTAAAGCTTAGAAAGAAACTAAAGTCAAGCACCACCCTAGTCACCATTGATCGCCGACGGCCGCCACCGGCCACCGTCTATCACCGCCGATCGTCGTCGACCATTGACAATCTCCGTCGACCACCACTGACTGTCTTAGACACCCACTAGCTTCCGTCGATCAACGTCAATTGCCATCGGCCACTATCGACCGACGTCTACAACCATCGACAGCAGTAGAGCACTACTGTCCCCATTAATCACCACTGATTGTCATGAACCTCTGACAACCATCAATCACCACCAACACCATTAACCACTATCGACAGGATGTCGCAATTCGATGTTGTAATTTGGAAAACCTAGTCACCCTTTCTCATTTCTGGGATAAGGTTTCTTTGTGATCATCAACCTACAATGAATTTTTATATCTTAACCATGCCTTATGGTTTTTTCCTGTTATAAGTTTTTCACTAAAAACTTCTTGTGTCATTACTGGTTTTTTATTTTACCTTTTTTTACCCATAAAACAAAAACTCCATTGCCTGAAAAGCCAGTTACATTAGATGAAAGGGAGATCAACAAAATCTTCATGAATCAAAACTTTCAAAAAACCAAAATAACTCCTACAACATATTATTTGTCATGTATCCATGGAAGATTTAGCTAGCCAGTTAGAAGGTTGGTTCCCTTCCCAGTGAACATGGCTCCAAAGCGCATGAGTCCTCTAGGCTAGCATTCAAAATTTTCTGACCTAGTAAGTCAGCTGCCATGGAAGACTTCCCTTGAAGAATGTTGATCAACTATAAGGAATTTGATTCAATTTAGAGAAGGGTAATGTTGAGAGAGGTAAATATCTTTAAAGCCCAAAATACAAAGTAGAATACTCTTAAACAATTCCATTGCTTCAATTTACGAAGCAGAACTGGAACAAACGATAGTTTGAAAGCGCCACAAACACTTGCCAAGATGATTCCTACAAATACACCCAATGCTAACACCTGTGGAAGAGTAACTCCCATTAGTGTTAATTTTGACCCAAGGGAAGGATGGTTTACACCATTGAACTTTCTGCACAATAGGTCTTGGGTGGAGGTGTGGAGTCAGGAAGGTGAATGGAAATAGGAATATTGATTCCGTGAAGATGACTACAACAATTGAGAGCAATGGAGCCTCATATGTTGCAGAGTTCCTAGGCATCCAAATGAACCAATAAATGATTAGGAGGACGAAGTGTAACTTATGCTCTTTATAGTCCAACCAGAAAACCTCCAGAGTTCTCCTAGAGCAAAGAAGATGACAGAGATGAAAGTGAGCCAAGGTAGCTTTCCAGAATGCAGTGGCAAAGGGACATGTAAAATAGGGATGGTTCACATTTCTTCTTGAGGGCAACATAACCAGCACCTGGAAGCACTCCTCATTCCCTTTAGTTTCAGAATATCATCAGTTGACAAAAATTGCGTAAACAACCTTTAGCTGAAGAAAGAAATGGGAGGAGTGAGTTTTCTATCCCATATTTGCTTACCCCAAGAGTTCTCCTGCCATCTCAAGGAATGATTGTAGATGAAAGCATTAAGACTTTAACTAGGAGGGCTCTTGGTGACCAATTTGTCAAGTTGAGAAGGATCCAAAGGGATATTTGTTATATCCTTCAGAGTATTAGCATCCACAATTGTTTTGAAAGAAGACACATTCCACTACTGCCCACACCAAAACTCAGAAACCAAAGATGAAGGTTTAAATGAGAGGTTAGAAGGTGGGGGAACCATCCCTTCTTTCATCCAACAGTGTAGCCAGAAATTGACCTTGCCATCCCCAAGATCCCACATGAAATGGTCATTTTCTTATTCCCTAACCTTAAACAAGCTTTTCCAATGTTTGGAATCACCAGGTTTAAAATGTGTCATGTTAGGCTGAGATCTTTTGCAGTACCTCCCCCACATGAACTTAGCACCACAAGGAATCCTGCAACCTAAAATTGCTCCATTACTTGCAATAAAAAATTTGGCTTATGTGTTGAAAATTCTTGAATCCCAGACCAGCAGCTGCCACAGGTTGGCACAATTTGGTCCAATTGGACCAATGCATTTGCTTCTGCTGCCCCTCCCAAAAAAAATTAAAAAAAGTAGTTTCCAACAACTTCTGTGTACTCTTCATTCTTTTCATTTGCAAACCTAAAAGTGGAAAGGTAGTTAGAATACTCTTAAACAAAGTAATCCTACCACCATTGGATAGAAAAGCACTGGCCAAACAATTTATTTGGGAGTTCACTTTTTCTTTTACCAATGTTTGCTAAATTTTTATATAACGCTAATACGATAATCCATTACTCAATTGCCGCGATTTTTCTAGCACATATTAATTGTAACATTTTCAGTTTGTAAACTTGAGCATACGTTTGGATTTCATTTTTTGTGGCATCTATGATATCTTTCGTTGTATTTTTATATGTAACAAAAATCATAATAAAACCAACTGCCATTTTTATAGTTAGTTTTATGAATCAATATTAGTTATTGTTTTGAAAGATGACAACATGTGATGAAAACTGGTATATTCAGCCACACTTCCTTCTGATTCACTATATTTTATGATCATAACCTCCAAGGCATTACTATTGATTATTTCACAATGATTAGTAACTTTTCAATAATTTCCTCAAAATGGAATTATGTGTTAAAACATAAGATTAACATACATACCACTCAGTTCCTATGTATTCACATATTTAACACCTAAACTTTAATTTCTTCGCATATGCCACTTTAGAAGACATTTCACCTTTAAAAAATAAAGATAACGACATTTTCGTCTAGGCTAAATACTTTAAAACTTTTACTATAGAAGAACTTTTAGAAAAAAAAAATACAATTTCTAAAATCTAGTGTTCTCTTTATTATATAATTTAATTTTGATTACATTTTTTTTTATTTAGGTAACACAGCTAAAAAATGAATTATGTAAATTGAAAATAGTTATAAATTCTAAATATTATCTACTGAGGGCTATTATAGATATTTATCCATACAACACTTTAAAAATTATATTTTTTAAATATATGAATTTCTTTTAAAACATCAGCTTCGTAAATTGTGAACTTCGTGTAGTGATAAGTCCAAACAAAAACTACTTATGCGGGTAAAATTCTCTGTTAAAATTTAAACCTCATTTTTAAGAAAAACTTTCTTGCCTCGCATGTGAGTCGTGGCACGGCAGTTGATGAAAAATGATGGTAGCAATTTTGTTATTTTAACAAAATATTTGAAGCTTTATTGTTTTTATTAAATAAAAGCATTTTATTTCCAACAGGCATTGCTCCTCCTTGGCCACGAAGGTTCCCATCTTCCTTTCTGCGGTCATCTTCCCGCCGGCCTCGCTCTAATCGTAAGTTCGATTCTCCCTTCTAACGATTGTTTTTTCTTTCTGTTTTGAATTTATTGCGTTGTCGGCGTTGTTCTTCCATATGATCTCTCGAAGCGCAATACAGACTTTTACGTTGTCGAGGCCGGGATCTGCATCTGGATTAGGTTTAAAGACGGCTTCTCAACCTCTCTGCGACACGGCCTATCGGGCTTTCTAAGATTTTCATTGATTCACGAATTTAATAATTGTCAGAACGTAGATCTCTGGGTTTTTAACCGGTTTCCTTTTATTTCCCAGGTTTCCTTGATTCCGTTAATATTTCGAGATAGCTTGAAGTAAGCATCGATCTTTGTTGATTTATTCAATTGCCTTGAAATTTAAGGCGATGAGTGAAGTATTCGAAGGATACGAGCGCCAGTATTGTGAAATCTCCGCTTCTCTATCGCGGAAATGTACAGGTGCGGCCGCCCTTGATGGAGGTTAGTGATACTTTCTTCCCGTAACTTCTGATCTTTCTTCATGTTTATGGAAGCATATATTACTTGTTTTTTTTTCTTCTTTATATCTGAAAAGATGTGATATAGGTTCTCGAGATATTTACCTCTGTAATGCATTTGTCAGAAATTTGTTATCCATCTTATTTCTTGATTTAATCTTGCAGAACTAAAAAAGCAGAAGTTGGCTGAGATTAGGTCTGGCGTGGAGGATGCTGAAAACTTGGTAGTTGATTTGATTAGCCCGCTTAAGTATCACTTGATATTTTTTTCTTTTGTTCATTTATGTTTATTGATTTTGTATTATTGGCTTTGGTTTATGTAGATTCGTAAAATGGATCTTGAAGCTAGAAGTTTGCAGCCAAGTGTAAAGGCCGCCTTGCTTGCCAAGTTGCGTGAATACAAATCGGATCTCAATAACCTGAAGAGTGAAGTTAAAAGAATCACCTCACCTAATGCAAATAATGCCTCAAGGGAGGAATTGTTGGAATCTGGGATGGCAGATACGTTATCTGTATGATATTAGAAGCTTCTTTTGTTTAAATTATGTTGCATCTTTCTTCATTTGTTTGTCTATATTATTCTTCAGCACTTTTCAACAAACTAATTAACTACTTCAACAAATTCTTAGGCTAGCATGTTTATTTACTGGACTGTAGAGCTCAAATAAATTTGCTCAGAACCTGTTGTTCCTTCCTATTAGATACAATAGTTCTTCTTAAGCGATAGGAATTTGTTTGATCTAAACACATCTAGTTTCAGTGATGAGAGAACCTTGTCTTGTGTTCCTTAAACCAAGGATTTAAATGGCTATCAATAATGTTTGCTTCAAAGTTCTACCACATGATATTTGATATTATCATGCATATTTTATGATTTTTAGAGTTTGATTAACCACCTTTTTATCATCATGAAATGTAAACTTTTTTATTTATCAATTGTAAGTATCTTTTGTAAAACCGAAGACCATTATTGTCTCAAGATTTTCCCATTGTTACTTTTGTTGTTTTGAACACTTGTTCTTTGATGATTCAGGTGTCTGCTGATCAAAGGGGAAGGCTTTTAATGTCAACTGAAAGGTTGAATCATTCCAGTGAAAGGATTAAGGAGAGTCGACGAACCATGTTAGAGACAGAAGAACTTGGGGTTTCAATCCTGCAAGACTTGCATCAGCAACGGCAATCTCTTCTACATGCTCATAATGCAGTATGTTGTTTGCCTCAACTGGTCAATTTTGTTAGAATTTTGGTGATGGTTCTTTGTATTTTTATCATATTTGATGTCTTCCCATTCTTTTCCTTTCTCTGTCGAACAACTTTTATTTTTTGTGTACTGAAAAACTCTTAATTTTCGGTGGAATCATAAACTTGTGGATTGAATTTTTTCTGTGCCCTTCATCAGTTTCCTGTGCTTTACTCTCTAAATTCATTTCATTCTTATAATTTGCGATTTTCTCTCCGTAGCAGTGATAATTTTCCTAACATTTTAACTTTAAATGCATACTAGGGGCCTGTATGGTAATTGATTGAAGTGGGATTTAACTTAAGTTTTGCTGGACAGAAAAAATGGCACTTTTAAATCCTGGATTCCATAAATCCAGTTTTTTCTTAGTTTTCTTCTCAGTTTTTCCTTCACTTCTGAATCTACTAGATTCTGCTATTGGCAGGATTTAGTAAATCTGGATTTACATGATTTACTATAGAAGCTAAAGGCGTTACCAAATATCAACTAGATGCCAGTAAATTGTGTTTACTTTTTCCATGAATTTTCGCATCTCTACAAATGTCATATTTTGTTTATCTTGCAGCTGCATGGCGTGGATGATAATATAGGCAAGAGCAAGAAAGTTCTTACTGCCATGTCTAGAAGGATGGACAAGAACAAGTGGATCATAGGGGCAATAATTTTCTCATTGGTGCTGGCTATTCTCCTCATTCTATATTTCAAGCTCGCCTATTGATGGATCCTGCTTAATTGTGCTCAATTTTTATTGTAAGTGTGCTTAACTTGTTGTGTGCAAGTTGACTGAAATTATACATGTGTGCTCCTTAAGCTATTTAAACTAGCAGTTCTTGTATTGCTTCAATGTGCATTTCTTGGTACAAGATTTCCAATTTTTCTGTCTTCTTTAATACTCTCCAACTAGAAATCATTATATCTTTTTAATTTTGTAAGATAGTTCTTTAGCTTGAAGAAAGAGCGTTGCTATGTCCATATATGTAGGTTTAGATTTCATTTTGATATCGTATTTTTTGTGTGATGAGATCAATGTTCAGCCTTCAAAGATTGGTATATGCTGATATTTTTATGAGTTGATCTAAATTTGTTTAAATAAACTCGCATGTTCACGTCAGGAGTTAATATCACACCTCATATCACAATGACGATCTTTTCTGAAGCCTTGTGCTATTATCTGGGATATAGTACATGTTTATAAATCATTTCTGTAGCGAAAGGAAAGAGGAAAAAGAAAAAAAATGAGATATAATTCTCTCTCATTTTTTTATATTTCGATATTTGGTATTTGCGCAATGAAAAATTCAAAATTCTTTTTCCTTTTTCTGTTTTGAGATATTATTTTTTACTTGCTGCATCCACGAATGAATAAACGAATCAAACTGAAGAGTTAGAAATGCACGTAGAAAAGGAAATATTAAATTATTTATGCTTGAACATATTATTCCCAGGTCTGGATCATTTTGATGGCAAGCGACCCATCACTTCAATGATATGCTTGAAATATAGTTGGACTATTTTGCCCTAAACTAGTAACAGAACAGAGGTTATTTGTTCTTGTTCTTGTTCTTGATCGGACAAAAAGTTTTTATTTTTATTTAATTATTTTTTTTTGGGAAGGAGGGCCAGGCCTAGTAGATTCATTGATGTGAAATGAAGATTCATTGAACCCTAAACCCTAAACCCTAAACCCTAAACCCTGAAATAAAAGATACAAGGAGGATACACGAAAGATCTCATGTAACATTAAAAAACCTGCATAAAAACTTAGACCTTTAAACAAAAACACTGTAAAGAAAGGAAAGAAAAGAAAAAACTCCAAAAAAGAGTGCTAAGAAAGAATGGTGTCATCTATTGGTGGCTCCAAAGCCATCCAAAAATTCCAGAGTGGTAATAGTATCTGAAAAAGAAATGGTGGCTGGCAGTAGTATCTAGGGGTGTAAATGAGTCGGGCCGAGCTCGAGCCGCTCTCGACCAGAGCTTGAGCTTGAATAATTTTATTGAGCTCGAGCTTTAAGTCTATGAGTTTGAACCGGCTCGTGAGCTGGCTTGTTTAATATAAAAGAGAGAAAATGATATTAATTTAAGACAACTTTTATAGTAAGTTGATATAATAAACAATCAGAAGATAAACAATAAGAAATCACTTAATATATGATAATTTTTTTTCTTAACATTTTCAATATCTTTTAGATAAAATTTTGAAATTTAATATATTATGAGTATATTTTATGTTAATATTTCTCTTAAACGAGCTGACTCACGATCTAATGAGTTGAGTCGGGGTTGGCTTGAGCTTGGTTTGTTAGCTCATCGAGCTCAGTTCACAAACCACTTATCGAGCCGAACTAGAGCCTGCTCTTGAGTCGGCTTGACTCACTTGCAACCTTAGTAGTATCTGTTCGTCAAGGAGAATGGAAGAAAATATGGAGCAAAACTAAACTCCTAACATATACTGGAAGGAGTAATAACACCCAACATAGATATGCGTTCAAAAAGAGTGAGCTGTTGGAGCAATTACGCAGCAATGTATACGGTTAGAGTTTTATTACAAAAACATGAATTGGTTTATCTGTTCGGTTGGGTTAAAAAGTGAGTTCAAATCTTATTCGTTTGACTTGCTGAACAAATGAGCAAAATTTTATCTGCTTATGTTCAACCAGTTAACTAATTGAGCTGAACATGGGTTGTTCACAACTTATAATTTACTTGGGATTCATTTATAAATCTCATAATAGATATGTTGTAGATATTCAAATATATTTATACAATTATAAATTTTTCCGTTAAAGGATCAACTTTAGATAAATTTGTTGAACTCGTGTTAGTTTTTGACTTGAACACGACAAAAAGAGAAAAATGAGCGTTTTTGGGACTAGGGCTGTCAAAACGGCTCGTTGTTCGCGAACAGTTCGTCTTCTCGTTAATTTCGTTCGATAAGTTAACGAGCCGAACACGAGCTAAGATGTGTTCGTTCGTGTTCGGCTCGTTTTGGCTCGAAATACTACTCATCAAGTTTATATATATATATATAATCAAGTTTATATATATATTATATTAAGTAGTATTTTAAAAAATCTAATTGACTACAAGGCTACAAAGATTTATAATCAATTAAAATATTGATTAAGAAAATAAAATAAAAATTATTAAATTAGATTCAAATGATGTTTTAATATAAATAATAATTTTTAAATCTTGTTCAAATTTTTATTGTCTTATGTCTTGTGGCTAAATGATTAGGGTTGTTACAAGAACTTTTTGTTCGTGAATAGCTCGTGTTCGACTCGTTAAGCAAACGCGTCGAACACGAACACACTTTTTGAGCTCGAAATATAATGGCTCCCCCCCGGTCCGGGCTCGCACGTGTTCGGCTCGTTTACACCCCTATTTGGGACAGCCATAGGTTCAAGTACCATGGGATATCTTTAGCTAGCCAGAATGCTCCTATCAAAAACACTTTCTGGATTACCATTAAGGCATGTGGTATAAACAAGATAATCATTAGATCAACTTAATCGACTTCTTTAATCCTTAATCCCTTCTTCTATAAATAAGACTGATTGCACTTGATTTTCATCCAGAGAATGCTGATGTGTTTCATCACTTAAATCTTATCTTAATTCTGCAGAATTTAAGCAACTTTTTTGAGACGCCATCAGGTCATACGCACTCTCCTTTCAGTTAAGTCATATAAACCAACTGGATCTCACTACAAATGTCTTTGAAGAAGATTCTAAGCCACTTCTTTTTCTAATTTCGAGCGAGGCATAACTTAAAACAAAGAAATATTCCACTATAAATATCCCTCCCCCCGCCTCGCTCTCTCTCTCGATGTGTAACACTAATTATACATTTGGTTCTGAATTTTTGAGATTAATATAGGTGCTGCTTGGATGGCCGTAAAAGAAGTGCATCCCTTCTTGTTGGTAGCACACTCTACCCTCATCGCTCCTTTTTGAGTGTTGAATTCAAATTTGTCTTATGAGACATGCTTAAAGATCAGAGCGATAGAGACCTTGAGCAAGACAAAAAAAAGAGACACAAAATGAAAAATAAATAAAATAATATGCATAAACTTGTCTCGTAGGGGTGAACTGAGGATAAAAAATAGCGTTTGCATTAAGGAGAGAAAATTCTCTTAACATGAGAAAAGTCTAGAGAATAGCCCATTTTTTACATGATATGGACTCCATATTTATAGGAGAAAGAAAGTGAATATCTAAAATGACATGCTAGTTCAATACTTTAATTGGGGAGTTACAAGTTATTATTTTCTTTTTACTAGTACACTGTTTTAATAGGAGATTGCAGGTTTTTATGGTGCATTTTTATAGTCTCCGCTTTAATATGAGAGTTAAATGTCTTTGTGGTGTCTTTTATATAACAAATTTTTGTCACATTTTCATCATTTATTTTTTTATAGAGATTATTAAATTGTCTCGAGATTTGTGCAGTAGTTTTTGGGTGTACATACCAATATACTAGGTTTTCTATATTTGATCAATGAGTACAAGCCTTAGTGATGTTATTTTCTTTTGAATATTCAAATAAATTAATAAACTATTATTAAAAAAAGCAATCTGGCATGGAGAAATGGTATATATCTCATCATGCCTAACATAGTGGTATGAATGTTTGAAAAGCTCGTTGTTCACGAACAGCTCGTGTTTGGTTTTTCATGTAGCTCATATTCGTATCGTTTGTTAAGTAAACTGAATATGAATAAATTTTTAAATTCAAAGTATATACTAGCTGAATACAAACAACTATTTGTTTGATCATGCTCGGTTCGTTTTAGCTCGAAATAAACAAATTTTATATATTATGTTTATTTATATCTAGATTTACATCAACACAACTCTTGTGGTCATATAGTTTTGCATTTTTTATTATATAAGAATGTAGGTTATATTCAATACCTTGCATCTTCTTTTATATTTAATTTAAATGAGTCAATATTGGTTGAACACGAGATGAAAACAAAAATAAATATTTTTCAAGATGAACATGAATAAATATTTTTCAAGTTGTTCATGAGCCATTTCGAACATCAGGTATGTATTTGTTTGTTTTTCTCTTTTTTATTTTTGAAGAAGGCGCCTCCAAATAAATCTCTCTTTCGGGTCGTGAGCCATTTTGAGCATGATGTATGTTTTTGTTCAATTTTCTCTTTTTTTTTTTAAAGGAGTCATTAGTATGTCGATTGTCATATTCTTTTCTTCTCCGAATAAATCTCTCTTTCGTGTTGTTAAATGACCAAGAGGAGATGAACCAAAAAAATACTAAAATACGATAATGACAACAATGAAGAGAAAAAACAAAATGTTCAGTGCCTACGTGCAGTAAATGATGTGCTCTTAGTGTGTGATGTTTTTCTGCGTATTTTATGTTAATTTAAATCACCGGTAATAGTATGAAAAAACTTGACTCGTTCCGAAATTTACGCAGTAATTTACCTTTAAAAAATATGACAAAAAGCTCAACCCAGTTTATATTAAGTAGTTAATGTGCAAAATTGAAATGTTATATAAAATATATAAAATAGTTCACACACTAGGAGTTCTACTCTAGTGAACGTATCGCTTCAAGTAATATAGAGCTTTCTTTAAAACCCCCAGTATCGGTCCCGCAGAGAAGCACAGTAAGAATTCACTTAGGCTAATTCTAGTCTATTACTATCAAGTCTTAGTTTGGAAGATGGAAATTTATATGATATATGATAATAACATAATATATGATAATAACATAAATCACAATATTCAAACTATAAAAATTAAAATAAGAAAGACAAGCTAAAATGAGTTTTATGAATGCTAACAGAAATGTAACTGAAAGAACTAAGTTTACTAAACTAATTTCTAAACTTTAAAGTTAA